TCAGCCGCCTCCTCTGCCTACCCCTCGGCCCGGCCAATGGACGATGTCTATGAGGTTCTCATACTTCCGGCTCCGGTATATCCGTCACAATGGCCGGTAATAAAGAGGACCTGTCACCATGCTAGCCCGCTGTCTGAGACGGGACCTCAATCAGTCTACAGCTCCACCCCTCAGTGACTCCTCCCATTCTGAGGCCCAACCTGTTACCTTGCTGCGGCTGTAGTCAGTGTTCCCCCACAAGATGATTCCGGCCGCTCCCAGCGCTGCGCTCTGTCCAATCGTCTGCATGAGATCTTCCTGCCGAATACACAACAGTCAGGACCGGAGGACGGAGGTCAGATAGAAGACTGAAGGGAAGGACAGAGGTCAGATAGAAGACTGAAGGGGAGGACGGAGGTCAGATAGAAGACTGAAGGGAGGACGGAGGTCAGATAGAAGACTGAAGGGAAGGACGGAGGTCAGATAGAAGACTGAAGGGGAGGACGGAGGTCAGATAGAAGACTGAAGGGGAGGACGGAGGTCAGATAGAAGACTGAAGGAGAGGACGGAGGTCAGATAGAAGACTGAAGGAGAGGACGGAGGTCAGATAGAAGACTGAAGGGGAGGACGGAGGTCAGGTTATGATCGGCCACTCGCCTCGGTCATGAAGTCCATGCTGTAGTCGTACACGATGCGGGCGTAGGGAAATACGGGGAGGTCGCCCTCCTCCGACTGCCCCGACACCCGGAAAGCCTCCTCCACTCGGTGTTTGACCAACGGGCCGACATACTCGGAGCCCTTCAGCATTGGCTCCAGGTAGAGGCTAGGATAGAGCGCCCGGCTGGACCTCCACATCCATTCCAGGAGGTCGTTCTGGGCCACGTCCAGCGGCGGGCATTCTCCCGTGTAGTTGTGTCCTCCTTTCTTGTATTCGTAGTTGTAGCAGCCAGGAAAGCCGTAGAGGCCCCACAGGCCTCCCGGCCTCAACTTACGGCTCAGAGCCAACGTGGACGTGACAAACTTTGCGGCGGCTTCTTCAAACTCCCTCTTGGCCTCCAGCAGAACCTCCTCCGCCGGCCACTCCGGGTGTTCCTCCCGCACCAGTTCCCTCGAACGCTCCCTATAGATGTCCTTCTTATCCCAGTTCCGGTCCCACAACGGCCTCCAGTCCTCCCAGTCTATGACGGCCACCCCCTCAAAGTCCGGGGAGGGGATGGAGGTCACCAGGTGCTTGTAGGCCGCGTTGAGGTGGTCGGTGAGGCTGGCGTTCTGCGGGAGGCCGCCATTGATGGGGTTGCCCTCCTGGTCGTAGTACGGGTAGAGGCCGAGCTGAGTCTGGTAGAAGATCACCATCTCGCTGCCTGAGAAGGACTGGTTCTGATTGACCACAATGTCGAACGGGTCCAAGTCCAGGTCCACGCCGTACGCGTCCCGGCACCGGCCGGTCGGGGCGTTCCACACCGCCATGAACGGCCGTCCGGGAAGAAGAGACGCCGGAGCCGCGCCGACGGAAACCCAAACCGCCACCAGGAGGAGAACCGTGAGAGACATCGGCCCCCCCGAGAGACGAACCTCCGAAATCCTCATCACCTGCAAAACAAAAACCTTACTCAGTCTCCCCTCCCCCAGTGATCAGTCTGCTGCAGGCAGGAGGAAGCATTTCCTCAGTCTCCCCTCCCCCAGTGATCAGTCTGCTGCAGGCAGGAAGTGGGGGAAATCTCCTCAGTGGGGGGTCTTCCCACTCCATCCAAAACTAAAATAAATATAAATAACAATCTGATGTTGCCGTCGTTATGTTTGCACGCAGGGCGCATATTATGCGTTTTTTCCACCTCGGAATCCCCCGATTGTCGGATCAAATGACCGCGATGATGTTTTGGGAACACGGATGTGGATAATCGGCGCGGCGTTTAATGTCGGCGGCGCAGGAAGCTCCCGATCACAATGTATGAAACACGCGGATGTTTGCGACGAAGCGTTTTTGCTGGCGGTTTAATTGCGATGTCGGCTGACGTGATGCGTCGCTCGGAGGTCGATGTGCATTGAGTTGCGCAACAAAAGTGAAACAACCTGTGCGGGTGCAAGCGGCGAATGTTTAACATTTGTGCGAGCGAACGCGGGCGCGATACTCTGACCTTTCCCCGGGTCGGATGGCGGTCGGTTGGATCTGATGAAGTGATGGGCTGGGGTGTGCCGAGCCCGCCAGGAAGCTGACAGCGCCAATCACGGGCACGGAGACACTTCCCGATCTCTGCAGCTGCGGACCGGGATAATGTCTCGGTACCTGTGATTGGCGCTGCGGCGCTGTCAGCTTCCTGGCGGGTTCGGCACGTGGAGCTGCGAACACGCCCCGAGCCCATCGCTAATCGGATGTCGGTCAGAATGGATGGCGGTCGGATCTGATGTGTGAGTCGGTCGGATCGGGTCAGTCTGGGTCGGATCGGGTCGGACCTTGTGAAGTTTTATGGGGTCTGTTCCTTCGGAGTTGTTGTATCGCCGGCTGCAGCGGTGGCGATGTCTGTTCCCCCTCCGGGGCAGAGTCCGTCTCCGGGATCTCCGGGATCACTTTACATTGCGTGTTGTCAGTTCCTCTCGCTGCTCCCTCTTCCTCCTCTCCGTCCCGTCAGTTCCTGTCCTCTCCCCTCCCCCTCCCTGACACGGTCACATTAGAGTTGCCACCTTTTCTTCAAGCGAAACACGAACACTCCCGCGACTCGCGGACATTTTTGGGGGAGAATGGGTGGCGGCTTATTCCTTTGTATATATCACAGTGGAGACTATTTTCAGTGGGGGGGGGGGGAGT